CTGTCTGGCATATATCAAATGTCTCGTGGTAATGTAGATCGGGAAACTAATGAACGTCTATTTTTAAAATACAGTCTCATTTTCAAACAAAAACTGAGATATCTCAGCTGAAAACAGCTACGCGTCTAAACTAATGTTTCTTTTCTCGAACTACAGCCGGCACTATTCCCCTTACGGTTTACGTCATTCTTGGATTAGGGTTACCTCATCCTCACATTTTTCTGAGCTAACACTATTAATTTTCATCCTAAATTGTCTTTCATTTGTTTCACTACTTTCCACGTTGAAAATGGACAGTAAATTAAACAAAATAATCAAGCTTATGTAATTTAATTGTAGTTTTTTTTAAAATCTCAGTAAAAAAAAACTTTGCTATCTTGAAAGCAATACATAATAGACGTAAATCTAGCCGGGTCTTTCTTCAATGGTTCGCACAAAGATTTCTGATATACAAATATTCCGTAGAACAGTTGAAGAGCAGTTTGATTAAGTTATATATTCAGAAACAATTTTTTTTCTATGTTGATGCTCATATTCTTGCCATTGTAACCACATGATTATTTTGTTATATGAAACATATGACTAAATCACAAGAAGTTTTTTATGTTCATTAGTCTAGTTGGGATTTTAAATTCATAACAATTTTTTTGTTTGACGTCCAGGGAAATTCAGGACAATAACATTTCCACGCCTATTATGTTACTTTAACTATAATTAATTTCGCTGTCATTAATTAACGTTATAGTGCAATATGTGGATTTAAAAAAAAAAACTAATTTTGTTTGCTAAAATCGATAGTTAAAGTAAAATAAGAATTGCACATAACATTTTTATTAGATACATAGATATTTCATTCATGTTTTTAAAAAAAAAAATATTTCAAATTTTAAAAGTTAGTCTAGACAAAGTAAACACGACAACATTTTCTTTCTAAAGCTAAATTTTGTTAAAACGTGATATTTTTTTGAGGTTTATAGGTCTACCTAATTTTATCTTACTCTTAAAATAAAAGTGTTGGATATTTTTCTATTGTTTTTGTAAAGTAAACCATTTCTAAATATCTTAAAACAAACAGAAATGAATCCTGGTGAAGATCTCATTGACAAAAGCTGTTGTACTTTGTGACTGACTATTCAGATCTATATATAAATATATAGTGGAAAGTTACGTCATCTTCATTTTGCTAGTTCCATCAATTAAATCTGCGATATATATATATATATATATATATATATATATATATATATATATATATATATATATATATATATACTCACTTTTGGGAAAATAAAGGCGGCGGCTGGAAATGGTGCTGACCACACTATCTCTCTATATGCCGAGTACTCTGAAATAGATAAACTCTACTTCATCTACTTTATGTGACTCCTACACGAACAAGAAATAACGACGATGATCTATTTTACGCACCTAGTGGAGATCTTATAAAAATTTTTTTTTTATTGTTTCTTAGATATTAATTAATTGTCTCGACTATAACGATAATTTTTAAAATAAATCATATTTTTGTTTGAAGAAAAATGAAATGAAAGGGATGGTACATTTTTGCCCGTCATGCAACTTAATTATGTGAAGCTTGTGGTTGATTAAATTACAATTCAGATTTTAACGTGAAACTTGTGAAAAATAATATTTTACAGTAATCAATACTTAAAGCTATAAAATTCAGATGTTCGCTTTGTGTCTGATTTTAAATACAGAAGATAATACATTGGTTTCTTGCATAATTTCTGATATAATATTATTTCTATATTTGTTAAAGCAAGACTAAATAAAGATATTATTTGGATGAAGCTGTTTCTATACAACTAGTATGTTTTGTACACCAGCACAGTAATATATTAGTGTGTTTATCATTGAGTTTTAGTCTCATTCGTTGAAATTTTGAATATGAAAATTTGGTGAATTTTTCTCATATCATCCATATTGTCGCACACTTTATAATGAAATCTAAAATGAAATTTTGTCAAGCATGTCTATTCTGTTTGATATTTACGCTAGTTATTTGTTCAATTGCTGGGAAACGCGCCTTCGATTACATGGGATGTCTGATGAAGTGTGGCATCCAGAGTTTCCCCTGCTCCTGTAACGGCGACTGTGTCCTTTATAAAACTTGCTGCGTGTATTTCTCCAGAGACTGTCCAGAACTGTACTCAGAGTCCATGGCGAGCTATCAGAACTTCCTTGACCTTGACCATACCTGCTCAAGGGACGGAGTTGCCATGGTAACTTCTTGTCCAGCTGCAGTTCAACTCGCTGACAGACGATTCACCAGGCAATCCAACGAATCTAAGACTTCGGGAATTTCTAAACCACCTGGAAATACTTCCGGTTTCTCTTTCTCCAACTACGTCACTTTACTGACGGCTTTTGAGAACAGACCCGTCACGGACTTAAAAACCGGTATCGTGTTTCAAAACATGTCCGTGTATCGATGCAACATGAAATCGAATACACATTTCACGCTATGGGAACCGATTCTGCCTCAGACTCCGGAGAATGTTGAAGAGAACAGGAATTTGAAAGACAATCATCTATCCCCATACTCTCTGCGCTACTTACCACCAGACTCAGTTGAAATACAACCCAACTGCTTGCCACGATTGGTCAAAACATGCAACAGTTCTATCAAATTTGACGACGCCACTGAACAAGCTTGCCTGAACCACACCAACTACATGTTTGCGAACCCGAATGGCATATTCACCTTTTACCGAAACGCTTTCTGTTATCTCTGTAATTCTCAAGCGCACTATCATCTAACTAACGTGATGAAATTCACCCCCGAAAGAATACGTTTAAAAATAACCTTTAACCTCTTAGACGAGAGTAGGGTAGTTCTGACATCCCACGTGACCAGCCAAGACGCAGTCACGTGGTCTCAGGCGGTTTGCCACATAGGACAACTAGAAAATCTGGACAATATTTTTGACAATAACACCTGCGAATTTTTCCATTGTAAGCCAAAGTACAATCTACGGGCCGGCGGAAAATGTAAAAAGTTGATCCATTTTAGTATTGCTCTACAAGAAGACGATTTTAGTTTCTCTATGTCCGAACTGCTGAAGCTGCCTGTGATGTTGGCTTGTCTGGTAGAGGTACTGATACACCTGGAAGTTGAAACTATCGAACAGACAAAGTTTGCTGTAGACCAGAGGACCAACGCGAGCATGGCCGTGGTGAAACTGATGATTTATGTAGAAGAACGGGAACTTGATGAAGAAAAAATCAGGAGACTTGCTGTTTTATTGGGCGCATTCAGAGAGTACAGGATTCAATTTAGTAAGACCAGTAACCAAGAGGACAGTCAATTCTCTTTCAGACTTTTAAAAAGGTATGAAACCATTGACACAATACAAGTTGGTATGGTGAACAACCCTTTGAACGGTGCAGCCCAAATGAATTACTTTTCGTTTTGTTACTTTTTCGAAAACACGGAGAGCTTCGCATTTACGTTTCAATGTCTGGTTAACAATACCAACGTTACTTACCCAACACTAAATGATGAGAAAAGTCAGAAATGTTTCACATATTTTAATAATTCGCGTCTCAACAAAATTATGATCTTAGACTTAATTTATATCCTTGTGATAGTTTTTGTTTTATAGTGAACCCATTAATACTAGGCGAGTAGTATAAATCTGTACTTAAAGAGGAATGTTTTTTTTAAAGTTTGGATTACTAAATCTAAAGCTTCTATTATTTTGTTTTGTTCATGTAGTCTTTGCTCTCAATGTTTTAGTTATAGTTTTATCATCGCTGTCTTTATCAAAAGCTTTTAATTATTGTTTTACTCCACGCTATCGTCGTGGGGATAACTTCAACAGCAGAGGCGTAGCCAACAATTCATGCACATGGGGCGGTCTATCAACTTTACGCCCCCTACGATTATATGAAGTTATTCAAAATATTTGGGCGCTTTTTACCAGTCATTGTCCCTTAAAAAAATTATTTTCGTGTCACACAATAAATGTAAAAAAAAATTAAATAAGTCCGTAAAGTCAAGTATCAGTTTACATCTTTGTAACTTCAACAGAGTAGAATTGTATAATCCATAAAAGCAGCTGAATGTAAGATTTTAATTTTTTTTTCTATCCCTTCCGGCGCTTCTCTAAGCCTGGCTGCCTAGGAATGACCAACACATAAATTAACATCAAATCACGTCATAAGTATTTATGTGGCCCATTGTATAAGCTTGTTTGGATGTATTTTAACGTCACTTACTCGTTACTTACTGGTTTTTACATTTTTTAAAGGCAAGATTAGTGAGTAAAATGTATGCTAGTAACAGTGCATAGAAAACGATGCACTATTTGAGTAAAAAAATCATTCATTGTATATGTATGCATTGCTTTAATAGTGATGCATTGTGTATGTATGTGCTGAGTTTAAACAGGGAAGCATCATGTATAACAATTTTGAATAAAATTATACTGTTGAACATTTGATTTATTTTAATTATATAAAGACCCCGACATTATTAATTGTTCGCTTGATAAGTAAATACTTTTATTTTTTTTTGTTTAGATTCCATACAAAAGGTAGTCAGACATGCATCAATAGATCAGTAAAAATTATGTATATGTGTGTAGTTATATGTATGTATGCGTGTATTCGTACATGCGTGCGTGCGTTCGAGCGTATGTGTGTGTGTATATGTAGGTGACTATAAAAAAATCCAAAACTTGCATAAACATTACAGATATAAATTTGTAAAAAATAGGTTTTATCTTAAACTATTAAAAAAAAATTAATGCATCCAAAAAACACGATTTTGATAATAGAAAAACTACAAAATGTTTACATTTTAGAAATTTAAACCAGATTTTTTTTTAATTTCAGAAGGATAAATACTCCAATATTTTGGAAATATTAATTTAATAGAAAAACAACTAAATTTGAAAAAAGTCAAGCGCTCTGGTTTGCACCAGTGTGGAACATGGGTAAATTATAAAATAGTAGATCTAAATAAAATTACGAAACGAAAATGTCTGGACGTCTTAAACTTATAAAGTATTGAGTAAAATGCAGACTACATTGGATTGTGGATATCTGTGTAAACAGGTTACGGCAGAACTTCAGACTTTTGTAATTGAGTATCTTTTATTTATGTTTTCATTATTTACTTATTCTGTTCAGGTTTGGGATTTGGAATTTCTTTTTGTATTTTAATGGAGGCAACCGATAGGACGAAAATCCGGTAATCTCACGTTATAGCGTCGGAAATTATCTGGTAATGTTTGTTGAGTTTCGGTAACATTCATTACTGTAAACCATACTTTATTTGACCGTTGAAATAAAAATAAAGTCAAGTGCAATTTAATCTAATCATAATCTAATGTTTAATTGACAGAAAATTAGCAGCAATTAGTAAATCTAAGCAGTGGCGTAGCGAGGTCTGGTGTCACCCGTTGCGGCACTTGATGGTGTCACCCCCCCCGTTAAAAATTATATATATATATATATATATATATATATATATATATATAAAATTATATCTATAGTCTGTTATAAATATAGATTGATGTAGCATGTTTTCTCTATTATTAGCAGGTTTACGTTATTGTGTCACCCCCCCCCCCCCCCCTCCCTTTCCACCCTTGTTGGGATTTGTCATATTTGCTGTAAAAAGAATATTTAACACACTAATTTATCACTTAATTAAGTGGAATTTTCATTTTTCTGTATACATTTTGCTATTTTTTGCCTTGGTGTCACCCGTTGCGACGCACCCCCAGCCCCCCCCCCCCACCCCTCGCTACGCCACTGAATCTAAGTGTTATTAAGGCCGTTCGATTCAACGCTTCCGGGTTTGTCATTTTCGTGGCATCTCACGGCTCATGCGCTTACTAAAATGGCGACCAGTTTCGCTTTCACTGAACGGTATAGAAAAAAAAACGAATGTTTACGAGGCCATCGTTAATTTTAGAAATCGGTACTATCCGTTTCTATTTAAGTCTGTTATTTAAGAATTGTCAGATCTACTTTTGACCTAATTTCTTTGTTTGTCTCGCAAGCGGCGCCTTCGCGAAACTTCTTCTTCGTTCTTAATTATTAGTGTTTAAGGGTATCGAGATTTATCTGCCAGTGAGTTTGAACTCGAGACTTTGTTCGAATTTGTCAACCATGAGCTTTTTGCCGACTCGACCACGCCTCCAACACAATTAAGTGTTACGTGTCAACTGATTATGCGCCATTGAGGCCATTGACTCCGATTTCAGCCTGCTTTTCTTTTTGGATTTGCTTCCTTTGTCCAACCAAGAACAAACTACAAGGCAGCAGTTGTTTGATTTTGGAGTTGTCTCTCCTAAAAGAGTTGCTGTATCCAGCTAACGAGCCTCATCAGCCCGAGGGTTCGAACTCGAGACTTTTCGGTTTAGCAACCATGAGCTTTACCGACTCGACCACGCCGACCCCGCACAGCATGCTGATTTTGTACAAATATAGTCATAAAACACAGAAATATAAAGTTCCAATTGCGATGTGCCACACCCGGGTCACACCCCCTCAAGAAAACACGTGTTTATTAAGCTGTGTATCTCACTTTACAACAGTAATTGAAATTAATTTTCAAATTTTTATTACTTATTGGGTAAGATTAAGCACAATGTTTACTAATAGTTAAAAAAAACATAAGTAAATTCTGTTTTAAAGAAGGTCACGGGCCAAATATTTTTTCCTTTAGTCAAGTTCAGTGAAGGGTGCCACAGGCCGACCTGACTTTGGTTTTTTTTTTAATTAATAGATGACTTTGCACAGAAAGTTAATATATGCTAAATTGACTTAGTTTACTAGAGTGCTAGCTATTATTCATACTTTTTTTTAAATTAAAAAATTATTTTGAAATTGTCAACAAAATGCCAAAGTCGAGTGTAGTAATTAAATAATTTTTTTTAAGAAACGCAGAAAAAAAACTTGCAGTACATTTGCGACAACTAGATCAGATCTAGAAAAATCTAAAATCAAGATCTGTTAGTAAAATAAGACGATTAGATTTACTAATGTTAAAAGTAGTAAGACGAACTAGAAATATATTTAGTAGCAGCAATAATCAGTACAAATAAACTTAAAATGATTAGAAATACAATTTTTTTTTAGCAAAACAGTATTTAAAATGGAACTAAAATCAATCAATGTATATTTTAAAACAATAAGTATTTTAAAAAATGGCGGCAAATAAATGATGGTTTACAGTATTTCCGGTGGTCTGGGAAACGGCTAGACAGTCAACGACATGGTTTTACTGGGTTTTTTTTACTGCTGTACAATTCCGGAATAATAACCGACGCGATATCGTGATTTTAAGTGTTACCGATTTTTACCGAAAATCCTTCTATCCTGTTGTTGACATTGATAAAATTGTTTTATCGCGGCCGTAAAAAATAATAAAAAATAAAAACCTAAACCTAAAAAAAAATTCAGAAATTTAAGATTTTTAGAATATAAAAGTTGCAAATCCTGAGAACTTGATAATAAATTTTTAAGTTTAAGGATAAATTTCTATTCTAGTTATAACCGGATGTTTCACTTTCGTAAGACAAACATTGATTAACTGTACAGGAACTCAGTGATCGATTTGTTTACAAAACTTTGCGAGTAAATTTTTAAAATAACATAATGCTATTTTAAACCACATGACCTAGTTTTGCCATTTTGTTTACATTTTGTATTATAAAATGTATGCTAACCTATAGAATATCTTCGTTTATGTCGCCTTTAGAATTTGGAAACCAAATTGCTTTTGCCTTTATTTTTAAATTGTGTTTAACTACTTTTAACACTAAAACATCAATTACATCCATTAATTCTTAAAGTCCGAAAAATGAAAAACTGGATAATATAACAATATTAATTTCTATTACACCGCGCATAATTTAAAAAAAAAAGTTTAAAGGCCTCTAAAATATCTTTGAGACTATTCTCGCTTGGATCCATTAATGTCGTAATGGTTACTCTAGTCAGGAAATAGAAATAGCCTACAAGTTATATATACCTAAATTCGATAACATAAGGTATTGTTATTCAATCGTTTATGAGAAACTTTTTCAGGTTGGGTTAAGTTTACTGCTGGAGTTTGATTAAGGTCTACCCTATACAATGTAACCCACTGAGTTCGATCAGAGGCCCCCGGTTATTATTGTTGACACGCACGATGTTTCGTCTTTCGTCCATTTTGCCATGATAATGACCCTAAATAAATTATTAAAAAACTTTAACCTGAAAAAATATTTTGGAATTAAGAAATCTTACTGTATTTTAAGAACTTGGAAAGATTTTTTTTTAAAGTTTAAAGATCACATTACTGTTAATTTTTACCAAGCCAAAATTTTTTAACCCGAAGTTTTACCTCAGTAAGACAAACTTTGCTTGGACTTTATAGAAACAGCGTGATAGTATTGCTGAAAACCCCCACACTCTAGTAATATGGTTCCGAATTTTTGTTGCTAGAAAGCATACAATTTTTCTACTGAGCTGTTTACAATCGTACTGACGGCCATTAGGGGCAGATAATTTAGCTTTTAAACTGCTTGAAATTAATGGGAGGTAATCACGTATTCGGCTTGCTCTTTTCATTGTAGGCGGGGGGGGGGGGGGGGGGGGGAAGAAGAGTGGAAAGTGAATGGGGATGATAATCGTCCTTCACTAGCTACTGATAGATAGTGTCTTAAAGCAAAATATTTTCAGTCGCAGCATTGATAGTGTCGAATTCACAAATTATGAATTACTGAAAAATAAGAATTAAACTAAATAGTGGCGTATGCTACGTCGCGGATCACCTCGTTTAATATAAATACAACACTACGCTATACACCATAGACCAGTGGCTTAGCGAGGTCGGGTGTCACCCGGTGCGGCACTTAATGGTGTCATACCCAGAGGCGTAGCGACCCTTCCCGGGGACAACCCCCCCCCCCTCAAATTTGGATTTGCACCCCTCCTCAAACTTTGGATTTGCACCCCCCCCCCCCCTCAAATTTTCGATTTGCACCCCACCCCCTCAAACTTTCGATTTGCACCCCTCCTCAAACATTCGATTTGCACACCCCCCCCCACCTCAAGTTTTTCTCTATATATGTTGCTATTTTTTTTGCCTTGGTGTCACCCCCCTAAATGGTATGGTGTCACCCGATGCGGTCCGCACCTCCGCCCCCCCCCCCCCTTTGCTACGCCTCTGCCATAGACCACCTTTGTGAAATTTGATCATGGAAAACGATTGTTGTCACTTTCATTGTTTTACAGTCTCTAGCAATTACAGTTGACTTCAAGGAGAGGTAGAGGGAGTTTTTGAAAGTATTTGAACTGATAAAATAATTCTAAACAGCTTTTCAACAACTTATATTCGATAAAAAAAATATAAGAATGAGTGTAATCAATGGTTCATTAACGCTTTAATTTTTACAAATGTCACTATAATTTTATCGCTTGTCATTGTTTTTAAAAAGATTTTAAAAATTTAGTATGAATACCAAGACTTTTCATGCCTATTGTACTCAAAACTTTGCCATTAAAAAATAAATAAAAATGAAAACAATTACGCTTTTAAAAAAAAAAAAATGAGTATTTACTAAACGCTTCACATAAACCTATGGTTAAGTAACTACGACTAAAACGGGAGCCGGTCGTTTTCCCGAAAGACACTTGCCCGAATGCCGTTTGCCCGAAGGCCGAATTCCCGAATGGACACTTGCCCGAATGCGACAAATGCCCGAATGGACACTTGCCCGAATGCGACAAATGCCCGAATGGACACTTGCCCGAATGCGACAAACGCCCGAATGGACACTTGCCCGAATGCGACAAATGCCCGAATGGACACTTGCCCGAATGCGACAAATGCCCGAATGGACACTTGCCCGAATGCGACAAATGCCCGAATGGACACTTGCCCGAATGCGACAAACGCCCGAATGGACACTTGCCCGAATGCGACAAATGCCCGAATGGACACTTGCCCGAATGCGACAAATGCCCGAATGGACAC